AGACATGTGCAAGACACGTGTGGTGTGAAAGAGGTCAACATCAGGAAACCTTCACTGCTAGCACTGGCTGTCAGTATGTCAGGCTGACCTGTGTGTCAGTCAGGATAGTCACATGTCCTCCAAACCTCTTGCTGAAGCAAGATGTGGTGGGGAAGGGAAAGGGTGCTGTCAGTTGGTCCTTATCCGCTTCCTCCACATGCTAAAGGAGCCGTGAATGAGAGTGAAAAAGCTGAGAGCAACAAGAAAGCCCATGCACAGGAGGTGTGAAGGAAGTGGTCTGTGCTGAGCAGCAGTTTTGTTTCTGCTGTTACTCAGTGGGTACCCTGAACTTACTTAATGCTCTTTACTGAACGTGAGATCACTGGACGTAAGTGGGACACCACTACAGAACACAGACCAACTAAAGCCAGCCAGAAAAGAAACAAGAAGAAGACTGATTGCCAAGGGACATGCTAAACATGGATCCAGTTTTCAAACTGGGGTAGCAACTGAGCTCATATTTAAACACCTAATTAGCTACTGCAGGCTTCAGTTTGAAATTTGGCTTCTCATTATTTTTTACAAATACATTGTATAGGGAGACTGCTGCTGGAGACAGCACCATGGAGATAAGTGGCAAAATCAGCTTCTGGTGGAAAAGAAGAAAAAAAGAAAAAAAATCAAAATAAAAAAAATCAACAAACCACAAGGCATTCACTCCAGATGTAAATATTAAAATTTTTCTGGCAGAAATACAAAACAAACTCTTTCTCTTCTCCTCCCTAATTTTTGTAATGACAATTCAAACATGTAGGCTATGTTGCAAAAAAATCTTAAGCCAAAATTAAGAATTCCTGCTAAAAATTAATTTGACACAAAATGTAGAACCTGCCTTATCCTGATCCTTTATTCATCAATATAGAATCAATAAAACATTATTTTTAAAGGAAGGAGAAGGTCATGTATATAACTGCCCTTTTGGCCAGATTTCAAAGCAGCTAAATAAACTCTATCTGCCTTACCTCCTCCTATAGTTTTTGTTTAGTGAGTTGGGCATTGCCCTGTTTTATCAGCAGTGACTCAACAAAATACTATGAAGGGGCATCCCCCAGGGGACACTGTTTTCCATGGTAGGAAGAGTGGTCCATGGAGAGCCCCACTCCAATGAGTGGGTGAGCATGAACTTTTCAAAGCTCCTGATGCCAGACGTGCCTTGCTTTCCCACTGAACTTCTTCCTACAAAGTCCTTGCTACACTTTTCCTAGCTGCTGACTGTGTACAGGTTTGCCATATCACAGCACGTGCTGTTTGGCGTCACTCAAACATTTATTAGGATGAATCCCTGGGCATTGAACCCCAGTACTTCCAGGTCTAGCCAACTGGCCAGCATCCTATATGGATACCACTGGGAGCTGGGAGCTACCAGTCTTTTGCCTGGCTGATCACTTACTTAGGAGGCAGAGTTTCTCTGCTTGAGAGCCTGCCTGCCTTACTGTGAAGCATCAATACCCTGTGTCCTCAAGGGTCCAAGAGTCACAGGCACCTCGTGTGTGCCAGCACAGTTTTCTGGTAAGCGGTGTTCTGCTTTGGGATGGTTTGCCTCTTGCATGCACTTTCATTTCAGAAAGATTTTAGAGCCTTCAGAAAAGTGGAAATGCATAATATCAGTGTTTTTTACTATGCAATTATACTTTCATTTATTGTGGAAAAGGTACATACAGAGCATGAAGTGCCAAGAGAGGCTAGATTAAGATGCATAGGCTTTAAAGCCAGATAATTCCATGCGTAAGAGGAATACAGTTTTAAACTGAAACAAGGTAGACTCAGACTGGACAAAAGAAAAAAAAATTTTATGATGAGGATGATTAGGCACAGGAACAGGTTGTCCAAAGAAAGTGTGGATGCCCCATCCCTGGAAATGTTTAAAGCAAGGCTGAATGGGATTTTGAGCAACTTTGTCAAGTGGAAAGATGTCTCTGCTTATGGGAGGGAAGTGGGACTAGGTGGTCTTTAAAGGTCTGTTCCAACCCAAACCCTTCTGTGATTCTACATGTATGTGCATGGGAGATGCAATCATGGTATAGGTGCAGAAGCCTAAGTGCGCCTGTTTTACTGATACATAAAGTTAAGACTGACGTAATGAGGTCAAGTAACCAATGTTGATTTTTTTTTCAACGTGGCATTTAAACAACATGATTCTAATAAAATGGGGTCTCACAAACAAAACAGTTGTTCAACAAAAATCCTTGTCAGTTCTGTGTCACGTTATTCCTCTGTTTTATGTAGTCCATTGATGTTAGGTTCCTGGAAAGCAAAAAGCACACACAAAGAAAATGAGAAGAGAGCAGGTAATCATTGTAGGGGTTCTGCCAAAAGGGTCTGCTCTGTGTATCCAATTTTATATCCTTAAATCTATAGCATGTTATTGAAGTCTGATTCTCTGCTGCCTTGCAAATCATTTGCATCTCTGCACTGTGATATAAAAGGCTTCCTCATTGATTGGGTAGCTTTTTATATCTTCTCAGCACTCGTGTTTCTCTGACATAGATATCTATGCAAATACAAGGCTTTTGAGGATCCAGCCCTTGTATTTCATGCTTCATTGCCACAAGGTAAGTCAAAACAACACTCACACAAAATGTGGGAATGGGAAATCGTGGGGAGAGTCTACCATCCTCTTGCCTGGCATCTGAAGGTTACTGAAGGCCAGACTAGACCCAGGCAGAACAAGTTAGAGTGGTCCCCAGCCATGCTTACCCGCAATCCACTTGCCAGACAAGATCACTCTAATTCAACTCAGGAAGCTTGTGTTGTGCCCCAGGTTGCATTCAGTGGGGGATGGTGGCACTGATGGAGGAGTGCCAGGGTTACCTGCCAACTGGCTGCCCCAGGCAGCTTGGGATGAGTGCTTCTTCCCAGGGGTGGCATGAGCTCTGCCCCACATGGCTGTGCACAAGAGAAGCCTGTAGCGGCTGAGGATCTGGTCCTTCAAGTTAAAAGGGTTGAAATATGCATGAAGCATAAGGTGACATTTTGAGTGTCTCAGATCAGAACACAGACGTTACTGAATTTAAAATGTAACTGCAATTTCCTGACTAATGCCAACTCACTTTTGTATTCATGCAGTGATTGTTCTTTATTCTTAAAATAGCCCATTTTGCCCGAAGGTGCAGGTGATATCTTTATGATAGTGGAGCTACATTATCCAGCATGTTACAGCTGAAACTGTTGGTTGGTGCAAGGGCCACCTATAATCAGCTGCCCTTTTTTGTTCTCAATTTATATAACTCTTTTGTAGACCATTTGTTCGTGATTTGCTTCAGCAAGAATAGAACAGGGAAAAAAAAAAAAAAGAAGAAAAAAAGAAAAGAGATGCACCGGACATTCAGCATTGTTGTCTTTTCCTTCCTGTAGCTGAGCTGTGTGATTTACTGTTGTGTCTCCAAGTTTCTGAGTACTTTCAAATAACATGGGCAGTTAAATTGCTTCAGTAGCCTTATACCTCTGCAGAGAGTTTGCCTGTTTCTTAACATCCTGTGCTTTCTGTGGTGAAGTGTACAGCATATTATAAATAAGATATTCGATAAGAATGAGATAACAAAAAGAACTCATATATTTGCTGTTCATTCAAAATAAAAGAACTTGCATGTAGTAGCAGCCACAGAAAACTATAAGCAGGCTTTCCAGCAGAGTAGGAGCATCCCGGGTCCAGGCATTTGCTGCACCAACGGTGAAAGTGTAGAGGATAGAGCTATAGCTGTGGCCACCACAGAGGCAGGACAACATCTGGGGGAAGGAGAGAATTGGGAAGAAGGGTTCTGCTTTTGGTCTGTGTCCCTCTATCACTCTTCACCAGCAGGTTAGAGTCCTGCTGCCCCACAGGTCCTAACCCCTGACTCCACATGGGCAGCGGCAGCATGCAACATCACTTCCCCAGGCTGTGGCAGAGGCAAAGTGGATGGGGACCAAAGCAGTTTTACTATCCCCGGGAACCTGTTGCTTTAGGCTCCAGCCTGCTTTGCCTATGAGCTGTTTGTAATGCCACCACTTACCTTTGGTTCTGCTAAGCACAAATAAGGTTAGATGAGAGGCTGTAGCGATTACAGGAGTGAATTGTCATGGCATAGGAATTTGTGGAAGTGATGCTGAGGCCCCAGTCTGGAGGAGCATTTTAAGTGACATACCTGCTAATTTGCCTGAAACTAGCCTGCTTATTAGAAAAGAAAGAAATGTACTGCTGCCTACATGCAATGAAACCCGACTAATCAGCAGTTCCTAGAAAGCTTGACTTTAAAGAAAGGCACATTTGACATCCAGATGAGAGAGGTGCACAGGAGTCTCAACAGGTTTTGCTGTAACTCCCAGAATTTGTGTTCCTTTGTAATACCTCTTTGGAATAGACCCAGCCAGCCATTTATGCTTTAAAGTCTGTATAGGGCATAATGTGGTTACACTTGCAGCCACTCTCCTTGCCCATATTTTTATCCATATCTTTAACTGTGCACACACTGATGCATCACTGGGGCAGGTGCAATGAGTACCTTACTCATCTCTACCGTGCCCAACACAAGAACCTTCAACTAGTAGATACTGATGCAATACAAATAATAATAATAATCAGGAGTGGTATGATCAGACATTTATTAGGTGGGAACATGGTATGTATGTTTGGGAAGAGGGGAGTGAAAAAGAGAAGTTTGAGGGTCTCAAGGCAATGATAGCTTGGAGATTGATGCCTCAGCATTTCTAGTTTAAATAGTTTGACATAGAGATTCCGACAAGTATTGTGTAATTTTATTTTAATAAATCTCCCTGACATAAATAAGGTTTGGTGTCTGACAGAATAATCACCAGAACTTGAGCAAACAACATGCTTGCCAGTGATAATCTGTTTCTTCTGATGATTCAATGTATAGCTGTTTGCTGGATATTGCAAAATGGAGTACATTTGATGTTTGTGCAATTTTATTTCCCTTCTGGTTATTTTTATGTGCATCTTCCTTTTTCTCTCCTGTGTGCAGATGTTCGTATTCACCCCATGGAGCCTATGCCCAAAGCAAACTTGCCCTTGTGTTATTTACCTATCGACTACAGCATCTTCTGACTGCAAATGGAAGCCATGTGACTGCTAATGTAGTAGACCCTGGAGTAGTGAATACTGAGCTCTACAAGCATGTTTTTTGGGTTGTGAAAGTGGTCAAATGGATGACAGCCTGGCTGTGTTTCAAGGTATGCAGTTTTTTAAATAATTTTGTTGCCGTGCCCCTGCATTGTGAAAACTGCAGTCAGCAAGAAACTGAAGGTGTTTCAGAGTTTGCAATAATGTGTGGTATTTGTTGCATTTCTCTGTGTTGATGAGACGTACAAAATTGATAAAGACAGGCTTTCCCCCAAAAAAACATTTACTTTAAATAGAGCTGTCACAGCAGGGGAAGGGAGTGCTTTTCACTGCCTGTGCCCACGCACTGGTTATCTCTGCCCTGATCCGTCCACGTGCCTCTGAGCTGTGCATGGGGGCAGAACATCATCCTAACATCGAGCCAGAATATGCAAAGCGTTCCTCAGAAATGTCTTGTACATTCTCTTAATGAGAAGCAGACATGATCTGGCATGGTCTACATGTACGTAACATGTTCCAGAGAGGAGGGCAAAGGGAAGAAGGAAGCTGTATAAAAATGGTGGTGGGAGATGGCAGTGCTCCAGGATGTGCAGGTCCAGACAGTTGTGCTCTGGGAGGTGGGACAATTTTTAATTAGCTTTTCCATCCTAACACATATTTGTAATGGTACTTGATTTTTTTATTATCTATTCCTGGTTCGCATTAGGAAACTTAAATCTGCTTGATAAAACTGATCCAGAAGTGGGGTAGACCCCGTTATGGGTAACATTTTAAAGGGATTTTAGTAGATCAATCTGAAATCAGTTTAGCTGTGTAGGTACAATCTCCTCATGCGGACAAGCCTTACAAGGGCTTGTGCTGAGGAAATGTACTGCTTATAGCTCTTTCAGAAAGTAGTTTTGGATTAGGTAAATGGAACTTGATTTCATTAGAGAAAATTGAATGTCCTAATTAAAATGAACTATTTTAGATCAAGGGCTATGTCTCAAAAAGCAAATTAATTTTAAACTTTGATATGGAAATATCTCTAGCTTTCATTTTAGAAATGAAACTGAAGGCTGGAAGAGTAGTTGTAAAATAAGATGTAAACAAATAAACACATATTTTAAAAAAATAGTGTCTTCTGAGTGCACCTTGAATATTGCAATAAAATTGTAATAAGAATGCTCATAATGTAATGCATTCTTAAAGAAGCAGAGTGCAGCTTTGCCAAACTATATACATTAAACTTATTTTGCCTCTTGTGATTGCCATTTAAAATATCAGTTTCAGGTGGTGGCATTTTTTCACTGGGCTTACTTCACCTTGCTGACATAACAGTTTCATGTAGAAGTTTAGGTTGTGCTCAGCAGTTCCTCTGAGGCGACAAAATTCTGACAAAATTCCCATGCCTGAGAGTAAGTTTTGAGTCTCTTGTTTGCAGCACTCAATCCCACCCAGTTTTATTGGTGTGCCAAGGGAGACATTTTTGTATTATATTGACAATGATTAGACACTGACATTTATGTGTTCACTGATGTCACTGAACACATAAAATTACATTGGATTTATCACAAGAGGGAATCTCATACTTACAGCCCTAATAGTAGTGCCACTGATAGTTCCTGATCACTTCCTATTCTTTGGATGAGATACTACTCTAAAGAAATTCTGCCTTGCAACAGGCAATGGAGAAACATACTGATCTTCATGGAAGTGTGATGTCTGTACTGCTTGAAAATCAAATGTATCAATTTCTTTTTGAGTCAGAATAGCTTCAGGTTTGGATATCTGAATGCTTCAGTTATCAGATTTTCACATTTTTGTATAACACTTGATATATTTTCCTATAAGCCAAAGGAGAGGGAAACTGTTGCTTTCACTCTTCCCATACTCCCTTAGACTTCTGATTTACAGCTCCAGCTCCTACTCTTTGCTTATTGCTTATTGCTTAGGATATGCCTATGTATTCAGAAGTGCTTCATCCCAGAGGTGTGCCCTGTTTGGCTCTGAAAGAACTGCGTCGTCACAAGATGTTTAGCTCCACAGCAAGCCCACGTTGAAAGCCTGCCTGGCAATTTTAATAGTGTTCTAATGAGGGCTGTAGTATCCAGCATTCAAGCCTATGAGAGTCTTGTGTTGGTCTCGTGCACTAGGGTAAATTTCTCCTGAGAAAATACAAGAAAATTCAGTTGTCTGGTAACGTTAGCTGATAGTTGGTAGTATGGATTTCTTCTCCCCTGGAATTTTGTTCCCAAGTGCGTTTTTATGAATCTTTCTTCTAAGATTATGGCAGTAATGCAGTGAAAATGAGGTGATGGCTCTCTGGTCACATTGACTTTAACTATTATCACCCTGAAGTATTTCAGAGTGGTTTCTGAACATGTGCAGGAAATTGCTTCACCCACTACAACCTGGCACTCGTGAGAGCCAGCACACCCCAGAGAGCTCCAGTGAGGAAATGCATCACATCACATTCTCTCAGGAGAAAGTCAACATGTTGTTTGATTTAATTCCAAAGTATTGAGGCACAGCCTCCACTACCTTTGAATGCATTTCTGCCCGCGCTGGTACCAGTTAGATTCAGGTCAAATACCTCCTAGGGATTGCAGCCTGGCCCCCAGTCTTGCTGGGCTGCTCATATTTGAGGCAGCTCAGTGTGGCAGACAAGGCTGACAGCTCAACATCCACTTCAAAGCTGCTTCAAGATATTTAGGTACTTAAACAAATAAACCTGGAGTCTAGTAAAGAGGCCATGATACATAATCGCCTCAAAGTTATAACAGCTTGAGTTTCTCGAAACTGCGAAACATTGTCTTCTAGTCTCTAAACATAGCTCAGAAAAATTTTCCGCCAAATGAATTTGATGTTTTTTCCCCCAAAAAAGCTGGAGCAAGAGGCACTCCTGAAGAAATAAGATAGGCCAAACTAAAGGATCTGGTGATACTCATAAAATTTGTGAAATTAGTTCTTGCTCTTTGGAAGCAATGGTTTCATTCTTTCTCGTCTTGATTCTTTCTCAGGAAAGTTATTGTCTGCTGCGGTACCTGTTCTTTAAATTTCTTTGCGAATGTTTTCTCTAAATTTTTCCTAAATGTGGATTTCACCTGTCACACATAAGGGAGAAATTATGTTTATTCCGCAAAAAAATAAATTTATTTCTCTCCCTATGACTTCTCAGTAAATAAAGGCTGATGAGCTGACCTCTGCAGAGTGCAGTGAAGTATGTTATCCCTTTTAGCGCCCATATACCTTAGTAATTTTTATCATAAATTGATCTTTTTTAAGAGATAAAGTCCAAACTAGTAAACAATAACTAAATCATGAGATGATAATGGCCTAAAAAGACATTCATCGATCATCAAATTACAATTTAGCTAACTATGCACCACACCAGATTTAGTGTTGGATTTTGTGCAAGCTGGAAGCCAGGAAGTACCATTTCTCTCTCAAGTATTTCAGCATCTGCTGCAGATACTGAATATTCATTCCTAAGCCAGATGGTCTCTGCCTGTGATACAATTAAAATGCCTTAGAACAAAACAAAAAAAGTTGACTCTCATTAATGTCAATGGCAGGGACTGTTCTGCTTCGTATGACTTCATTATGGCATCAGAGTAGAGACATTTTCCACACAGCAGTGTTATAAACTTCCCCAAAACCTTGTTTATGATAAGCTTGGTGAACATGTCATTATCAGATTTAGAGTATTTGGTCCTTTCAGCCGCCTCAGATTGGTATTTAGGAAGGCATTGTGTAAGGAAGGCTGCACATCAGATCTTGTCTCAGCTGTCATTTCCAAAGACATAGTGCCACATAAGTGATTATTGACTGACAAACTGAAAATGAATAGGATTAGTGACCCTGCCAGCCTGTAAAAATGAAGGGAAAGGCTTCAGGAACACAGGCTAGATAGACATCAGCCAATATAAACTAGTACATTTTCTTCACCTTGTCAAAATAGGCTTAACTTTACTGTAATTTTCCTGTAACATTAAAAAAAAAAATGCTTCCAGTCTGTTAGTGCAGCTAGAAAAAAAGATCTGAAGGGCCTGGATTCATCATTCATGCCAGAGGACATAGTCATGCAGGTCTTATTGCAGCATTTCTTATTCAAACTGTCCCTTTGGCATTGTGAATGTAGTAAATTATTTCGTCCTCCCCTCGAGATGTCAGAAGATAAACACATCACAACACAATAACGCCAGCTGTAGAGAATAAGAATAATTAAATCCCACAGCTGAAAGCAGCAATTCATCAGCATCATCATCTTCTGTCCATGGGAGTGTGTGGTCCTCACATAAAGCTAGCCTGGGCCTTTCTCACAAAATGAAAACTCCTTGCAGAAACATATAATTTGCAGTTAATTTTTTCAAAAGCTTTTTCTGGTCAAAAACATAGAGAAGAAAACAGTCTACTTTATTCCAGTAACTCTGGTCTTTAAGAAGATCCCAGTTTTGCATACATTGGTACAGGGATCTAAGCTTCAAATCCACAGGTGTCTTTTTTCCAAGAAATATTTTATTATTTGTACAGCCATAGAATGATTCCAGGAGGAAAGATGGAGGGACCTACCTGAGAAGGCTAGTGAATAATCAACCATTAAGCTCACAAATCCTGGTGAACTGGTTTTTTTTCTTGCATGTGAATCCCTGGACTTTACTTAGGCACTCAGCTCCTACCTGTTATGAGGTATGTGGATGGAGCTTGGCTGCTTTATTTATTCTAAATAGAGTGGCTTCTGAGCATAGAGCCTTTTGTGTCTGTTCTAATTAGGATCAGACTCCTCTAAGGTAGGCTGACCCTCTCTGCCTACCTAAATAGCATTGGATCCTGGTCTCCACTGAATCTGTGGTTCCCCTGCATCCCGAGATATCACTATTTTTGTGCATGTTTTCTCAGGCCTAAGTAGTTAAAATATTTGTTTTAAGAGACACGTTGGAAGTTGTTGGAGAATGTTTTGATGGCAGGAAAAGGAAGGCTTTGTGTTGCGTGCCTCAGTGTGTGGCTCGCAAAGGGGTACAGATACTGTATAGGGCAGCACAAAATTGGTGGGATTATGGTGGAGTGCAGCAGAGGGAGTTAAGGCTGTTGAAGTTCTTGTTTATAACTCTTATTCAGAGCAGCTGGT